GCCGCAGCTCCCAGGCTGTGAGAGACGCAGCTACCAGGCAGTGGAATGGCAGCGAAGAAGGGAGTCCTGGCGGGGCCCAGGGGGAGAGGCAGCTGCCGTGGGTGCGGTGGGGCCGTGATCCATTGCTGGGCATGGAGGGCGAGCAAGCTGCCACTGCCCCCTCTTCACCGTTTCCGCCCTGGTAGTAGAGCGGGGGCGAGTGAGGGAGCCGTTCTCAGGGGCGCAGGCCAGCCGCAGCAGCAGCAGGATCCCTTGTGGGGCTCGCAGGCCGTCGGAGGGTGCAACGTGGGCAGTGGCTCCCGGCCGCCACGGTTCGCTGCCTCCCAGCAAGTGCCTGAGGTGGTGGCAGAATGACACCGAGCGAGGGAGTCGTTCTCGGGCAAACAAGGGCACAGCGCTGCCGCAGCATCACCATTATGGGGCTCGGCCTCCGGAGTGTCTGCCCACCAGAGCGTCCTGGCTGTCCAGCGGCTCTCAGCGCACTGCGGGTGAGAGGCAGGGCGGGACGAAGGCAACGCAGCCAGTGGGCAGGGACACCTTTCTGACTGGCAGTTGAGGAAAGGCTGTGGGGGCGTGTGGAATGTTGAGGCAAGAGGGACACGAACAGCGCTTTATAATAAGTAGAGATTTCTATGCCCCCTTCTCCAGAGAACCTGCTCCAAGTGCCTTGCAAAGCAACACACAGTGAAAATATAAATCATAAAAAGTAGTTAATGATTAAAACCCTCAACATTAAAAGCTGTAGTATTAAAAACCTTGCCAAGGACATAAAAACCACATAAAACAACTTTAAAAGAGTTCTCATACAATAATTCTGGGGCTAGGAGCAGACCAAAATCCAGCTGGGTGCTTTTCTATATCACTCAGAAGGGTTTCCAAGAATAGTTTAAAATAACAGTCACCATAAACAACAGCAGCATCACCCAGAACCAATAAGGTTTAAAACCTTTAGTTTATATCAGAATTAAACACCACGGTGCTTCAGGCAAATGCTCTCTGAAAGGGCTCTGTTTTTACTCTTTTTTTGAAAAAGCAGCATAAATGTTGTTTCTCTTATTTATTTAATTAATTCATTTATACTTTGCCTTTCTCCCCAATGAGGACCCAAAGTGGCTTACATCATTCTCCTTTCCTCCATTTTATTCTCACAGCAACCCTGTGTGATAGGTTAGGCTGAGAGAAGGTAAAAAGCCCAAGGTCACCCTGCAAGTTTTCATGTTGAGCTACTGTACCACCGCCGCACCACCACCACCAACTGGCTTGGGTAACATCTGGGGGGGGGGGGGCGCTGGCCCTGGGATGAAGAATGAAGGGTATTGCTGCCTGGAACGATATGATTGATTTGAGATTATCATCACCAGAATCCCATCTTGCTACTGAGGACTTTGAGACAACTTGAGCACCTTGTACTGTATAACTGATTGATTGTTTTATCAGGTTTTAGCTGTTTTAATTATTGGCATGTGTGCCTCATCTGTAAGCCGCCCTGAGCCCGCTCGCGGGGAGGGCGGCCCATAAAACTAAAATAAATAAATAAATATGTTTTGAGTGGGGATTCAAACCTGGGTCTCCCAGATACTAGTCTGACACTCTTAACCAGTACACCACATTAAGTGATCTCAAAGGCCTTCCTAAAAAGTTCTGACTTGAAAGCCCTTATGACATTTCATTAAAGACAAAGACAGCTTTCATTCATCTGGCAGCTTCTAAAAAGAGCCCATATGTGAGCAGCAGCAAAGTGAACATTTGCAGGGGACGGAACAATCAATAAATGCACAGACTCTCACAATTACCTGCCTTTCAGACCAGCATCACCGCCATCTTGTCTGGATTCAGTTTTATTCCAACAAACCGGGGCTTGCTGACCCAAAGCCTTGAGGGCCTATTCATGGGAGAAAGGGTAACTGGATTCTGCTCTGACACCAATTATGGCTCTCTGAAAGCCTAAAGGCCCGACAAAGTGTACTTTTATTGCAAGGGAAAGCTAGGAGGCTGTCCTAGTTTTGCTGAAGAAGGAATAGTTGCTGCCCTCTTTTCAAGAGGGGACCAGACTGCTGATCCTCTTGAGACGAAGACCTCATCCCCTTGGACAACCAAGTCTGCTAACACAACTAAATTCTGTATGGCTGCGAGTGTTGGACTATAAGGAAGGCCGAGCGCCGAAGAATAGATTCTTTTGAACTATGGTGCTGGAGAAGACTCTTGAGAGTCCCTTGGACTGCAAGAAGATCAAATCAGTCAATCCTAAAAGAAATCAACCCTGACTGTTCCCTGGAAGGCCAGATAATGAAACTGAAGCTCAAATACTCTGGCCACCAAATGAGAAGGGAGCACTCACTGGAGAGGACCCTGATGCTGGGAAAGATTGAAGGTCACAGAAGACGGGGACGGCAAAGGATGAGATGGTTAGACAGTGTCATAGATGCAACGAACATGAAATTGAGCCAACTTCAGAGGACGGTGGAAGACCGGAAGGCCTGGCGTGATCTGGTCCATGGGGTCGCGAAGAGTCGGACTCGACTGTGCGACTGAACAACAACAAAAACTAGAGTGATCAGGTTTCCAAGGAATTTAAGTTGAGCAGCAGGAGGCTTCCAAAATCCCTCCTGACAGGGATACCACATCCTGCATTTCTTTGGTGTCAACAAGAACCAATTGGAATTTTCCAGGACTAAGGCAGCATTGCTAGCACCTGACGGATTCTTTTAGGTGACTGAGCTCAACTGGGAATCACATCTTCCATTGCTTTACTTCTGGGGAAATCATGTATGTTGGTAAATTATATTCTCTTAATTGGCCTACCCATGTCCAGGTATGTGTGCAGAGAAGTTTCACTTGAATTAGGGCTTCTGGCCTAGTGCAGACAGCAGAGCTTGAGTTACATTCACATGATTTTTTTTCAGCCAAGAACCTTTTTTTGTTGTTGTTGCACAGACTGAGGGGCATTTGTACTATTATTTATCACCACCAACTGGGAAAAAGAAGGCTGTGGGCTCATCCGCTCTCCTCGTGTGCACAGACTGCTCGGCCAGGAAGGGATTTGGCTTCATCTCTTTCTTTCCCACCCGTCAGTCTCCCGCACAATTGAGTCTGCAGCGTGGCACAAACAGAGAGCAGATGCACGGCAAAGAGGTCCCTGCAGAACAAATTGTTTCCGACAATCCGAGACAGCCAATGAACACATTGCAAGAGAAGGCAGAAAAGCAACAGCAACTCCTCCGCAACCTTAAAATCCCTAAGTAATGGAGGGAAAACTCAAATGTACCAAGACCGAGGTAAAAAGGTCAGACTGAAGCAGTCCTTAGTCTACAGGTTTAGAAGAAGAAGAGGAGATTGGATTTATACCCCGCCCTTCACTACCCGAAGGAGTCTCAGAGCGGCTTACAATCTCCTTTCCTTCCCCACAATAGACATCCTGTGAGGTAGGTGGGGCTGAGAGAGCTCTCTCGAGAACTGCCCTTGAGAGAACAGCTCTGAAACAACTTATGACTGACCCAAGGTCACCCAGCTGGCTGCATGTAGAGGAGTGGGGAATCAAACCTGGTTCTCCCAGATTCGAGTCCGCACTCCTAATCACTACACCAAACTGGCTCTCCAGCATATGGGGCTATATTTAGGCCTCATGCCGAGGCAACATTTGCATGAACTAGGAGTGTCAGAATGGGTGGGTGGCCACCTTTGTTACCGTACCAGTAAGCTGCCATAATGGAAAACATGGTGGGTGCTTATACATCGCTTACATGGAAGCCCCAATTCACACAAATGGTGCCTGTAGATCTATCCACCTGGCTGTACAGCCTGGCCGTTCTCCTGACCTTTGTAGGGATGATTTGCGAGTGACACACATCCTCTCTGTATGTTTCTGCACACCATACAACACACTCCATACTTATCAGGGAAGACCCAACACCCAAGGAAGCCAGTGCATCCTGCTCCCCGCCTTGCCCTTCCGGGCTCCCACAACAGATGAGGAATAGGCCACTGCCTGTGGTAGGTTCTGCTGTCCTTCTTCCACCCTTGTTGCTCCGTGCCTTTGCCGCCAGCCTTTGGGATTTGGCTGCTGGTTGGCCTCTGACCTGCCCGGCATGTTCTGAGCATCATGGTGAGCTGGGAAGTTGCTCCTGCAATAGGGTTGCCAAGTCCGAATCTCGCCGCAGCGGGGGACTCCTGGCTGGCGGCTGGAGCGCGCGCGAAGCACACGTACGCTGCATCCACGGCACTCGGAAGTGACGCGGGCACGCTGGGGCGGGGCCACGACCATCTGAGGAAAAACCATAGAGTTTTCCCTCAGATGACCACTTCCGGGCAATGCGCAAATCGGGGTGGAGTTCCCCCCAGGGCCCGATCTGCCAGTGGCGGGGAACGGGCCTCTGGGGCGGGGGTTTCCCCGCCCCCCGGGGGGACTTGGCAAGCCTATCCTGCAATGTCAGGTGATCCTTCTGTGGCCCTCCAGACCCTTGGCACGGTCTGGAGGCCTCCGTCTCCTCAGAGCTAAGTGCAGGGGCAGGAGGTTTGACCCGAGACACCCGCCTTTCTACCCTCACAAGGGCCACTGAGGTGGCTAATAATTTAAAATATGCCTGATAACATTTCTAGCAGACGCCCAAGGGGGAAGGGAAAAAGAAATCACCGAGGCCACAGAGCTACCGACAGTTTTGCAGCCACAAGTCGCCTTCCATTCCAAGTACTTTACGATTCTGACGCTCTTAGCGCACTTCTGCATTTATACCTTTTTTTAAAAAAAAAAGAATCCGATGCCCCTACATTTTTAACCAAGACATTTGGAGGCCTGAGTGACCTTCATGTCAGAAAGTGAATGATGCCTTATTAAACGAGTTAATATTCACAATGACACAGACAAATCCCTCCCGATAAAAATCTCTTTTACAGCCATGACCTTTTGGATACATCTTTCCTGGAAGTGCAGAAGGTGGCTGCTGTCGTCAACCAATCTGATGGAAGGCCGCAGCCCTTCCCCCCTACCCCCACCCCAGCCTTACCTGTAATAACAATCTTTCATCCCCTATGACGGCAGCTTGATTCCAATCAATCACTTCGGAGAATGGCAACTCCCATCCGTTGCTGAGCATCACGGGGACGCAGGCAGCCTGCATAGAGAATCATTAAAAATCAGGGGAAAGAAACAAGCGCGCTTGTGGGCTGGTACTCCAAGGTCTGCGAGAAATGAAACTGCAGCCTTTCTTTCTTTCTTTTTTTTTAAACAGAGGGCTGGAAATAGGGATTTGTGGAAATAACTGACACTTAAAGCACCTTAAAATCACGAGGATTTGTTCTCACGTTGCATTGGCAAATCCCGTAACCCTGCTTGGAGATCTGAACCAACCTGAGGGTCCATTGTGTCCACTGGCGGAAGACAAGCAGCCAGCATAGGAGGACTGGGACCCAGTCCAATTAACTTACCTTGGCCTAGAGCTGGGTAAAGGCCTGAAGAGGAATTCCGTAAGTCACAGAATGTTATGGGAAACCAATCATTTTAACCAACTTCCTTTGTACTGCTGTATCCTTCAGTTGGGGGAACAGTTGGCACATTCCCTCCTTCCCTTTTGTAGGGAGGAGAGATCTATTTATTTGGCTGGTCCTTTTCTGTTCTGATTTCACGTAGCATGCACTGTAAACGTCATTGCTGTTTTAAACTTATCCTGCTTCTAGAATCATTATCACCGGATAAAGCAGTGCATAAATATCGCAAATAAGTGAGAAAGTAAATATGTAGCTGCAGATGTTGTTCCTTGCAGTCTCCAGTGGCACCTTTAAGACCAAGTTTTATTCAGGTACGAGCTCTCCCTCCTCTGCAAGGACAGATCTGTACGTCCCCCCCCCAATAGCTAGCAATCCAAAACAGTCCAGTGGAGCCTGAGCGGTGGGTGTTGCCTTCTGACACACTTCCGGTGATGTCAGGGTGTGTGGCATATGCAAATAAGTTCTGCTAATGAGTTCTGCTAATGAGCTCCTGCACCTCTTTTTCTACGAAATGACCCCTGCGAAAACCTATATGAAAACAAAGGGTCCACCTTTCAATCCATCAAGTGGATTGAAGAAAATCTGAACAATGAGTTTCCAGAACCAGCTACACAGTCAATGGATGATAAATCATTTATCTACTGCTGTTTATATATTGCTGTGCTTCCAGTTATGTTTGCATGTGTCTTCAGATAGGGAAATGACTTCCCCAACATTTTATATGGAGAAAACAGATACTTTCCATACAGACATGCCCAAAGCTCCAAACAGGCTCATTTTGGTTTCCTTCTGATGCCTCTGGGCATGTCTACGTAAGACAGGGGTCCCCAAGACGGAGCCTGTGGGTGCAAGGATCCCTGTGGACACCTTTTCTGACGCCCGCCAAAAATTTATAGAAAGTAGGTGGAGCCAAGTAGGGCTTTTCCCCAGCAGAGCTTCTGATTGGCTATTGGAAATTTGACTGGCTGTGCGGATTTTTTAAAACGTTGCTTTGTCAGCACAAGGATCTTCACCGTGTGACTGAAGAGAAGCTGCAGCAATCATTTTGCGGCTGTCTGCACCTCCAGGGGCAGCCATTTTGTGGCTGTGTCAGAATTCCAAAGGTGCCCACGGGCTCGAAAAGCCTGAGGACCCCTGACATAAGAGGTGCCTCCTCCTGGTTTGGTACCAAAGCAGAGACACCAAAGATGACACCAGGACAGGGAAAAGATGCCACAGGAACTATAACCATCTTCCTTCTACCCTGTGAACTTTGCCATTCACAATAGATTGTAGACTTTTCAGTTTCTGTTGACTGACATCCTGGTAAATCCAAGCGGGAGTTGAGCACCGGCATCATGTGACCAAGACCTAATCCTCTGATCTCCCCCTGCAGAGATGCCCTGTATTTCCAAATGTGTTCGGTGCCGTGTTAACTCCGGACATGCCCCTTCCCGCTGCCTGCCATCTGTCGCAAACCCAGAGAAGAAATCCCTTAAAACTTATTCACTATGCAAAGTGAAAACACAAGCAGAATTTATAGGCAATTTTCTCTGGGCTGAATTAAAACAATAAGCCAAATTATTTATTTCCGTCTAACTTCCTGGATGGATGAAGTCAGTGTTTCTTTAAAGAATACAGATCCTCCCTGCCTCCCCCTTCCTTCTCCTGTTTGACAAACACACTCCGAGTCAGCTGGGGAAGCCCTCTCCATGGAGGTAACACTGCAATCCAATCTGCCCACGAACTCTGGGCACGGAGTGCCTCTTGCGAAACAGCTGCCAACAGCGAAAGCAGGATTATGGGCTATTAGGGAAATGAAGTCTCCAATCCGCCTTCCCCTGCCTGGATATCACACCACGAGGAATCCCAGCTTACAAGAGTGCTAAATGGTTCCCAGGCTTCAGACAGACGTTGATCTTACCTGCAGGGCCTCCAGGAATCTGAAGGATCCAAGCCTCCGGCCACGGGGGACCAGACAGAAAGTGGCATTGTGCAGCATTTCACGATAATCATACCTAGCAACGAGAGAAAAGGGGGGAAAGATAAATTAACAATGAGTCCCGGGGAAATGGTGCATGAAAATGTAAACATCTGGCGGTGTGCATCTGGTTAGCATCATCCCTGGACAAGTTCACATCTGTAAAACTAGCATAACAGTGAGGAGCCAGCCAACCAGAAAAGGGGGGTGGGGAAATGTGAATAAATATATTCCCTGACAGACTGGCACAGCGAGAGGATATGGCAGAGACTTTTAGCTGAAGGGGGGGATGGGATGGGGCGGCTTCCGAGCAGTCCATTCTCATTGAACAACTGATTTGGGAGAGAAAGCATGCACCAAACTATACGGCAGCAGTGGCCAAGGGAAAAGAATGGAAGGGCGGGCCCGGCTACGGAGGCCCGCAGTGGCCAGTGTGGGCAGAGACTAATACTATCTCAAGTATGCACAGGTGCCTACTGGCCTCATCACTGTTGCAGGTCAGTAGCATCTACACTGTCTGAGTTGGTCTCTTGCCCCGCCCTCCCTTCCCATCGCTAAATCCACCAGCTGCTCAGCAGTGTATGATCCCTGTGCAACACAGGCTTGGAGCATGAAGGAGGAAGTGAAAGCGGATAGTCAAGTAGCTGAGTCCACCCGATTTAACACATCTGTTCCCCACAAGACAGAGCACCCACCCATTTGCGTGACACAGGGGCAGCCATTTTCAAACTCTCTTTCTGTGAGTGGCACAGATGATGTCGGGGCATGCTCTTGAGGACACAAGGGAGCCATGTGGGTTCGTCGCTCTCCAGTATAAATGTACACATTTCCCCTAGAACCAGAGGTCATTTCAAGGGGGGAACGCAGTTTCCCCGGGTGAGGTGCAGGGGGGTGGGGCACATGACGAAGCCCCGCCCCCTGCTTCCAGCCGCCCCGCTTCCAGTCCTCATTCAGCCAGGAGGAGGCAGGAGAAGAGGGAAGGTAAGTTGCTTCCTCCCCGCCTCTCCCCACCCCTGCATGCCTGGGGCCAGGGAGGGCCTTGGCGGGGCTTCCTCGCACTCCCGCTGGCCTTGCAGGTCCACCACCGGGCCCCTGATGTCAGGGGGTGTGGCATATGCTAATGAGTTATGCTAATGAGTTCCCCTAGCTCTTTTTCTACGAAATGACCCCTGCCTAGAGCATCCCTAACAATCTCCTGCCGTTCAACCACTGCAGTGCAGTGGAAGATCTAGCAGGGATGGGAAAGCTATCTTTCATAGAAAACCTGACCACCGTCACTCCTCTACGTATTTAGACACCTCCAGCTTCTGTGGATGGCAGGTTGAATACCAATGGCCTAAGGGAAAGCTGAAAGCCAACCTACACATCTTCTTCCTAAGCTTCTGCCAAGGAGTGCTCTGAACGAGGCAGAGACAATGACCAAGCAAGATAACCAAACAGTGTCAGAAGTTGACATAAGTCTTTGATGTGACACTTTTGGAAAGAGGCTGATCCTATTCTGTTTTGGAGTATCTGAAGAAGTGAGCAGTGACTCACGAAAGCTCATACCCTGCCACATATTTTTTTTTTTAGTATTTACGGTGCTCCTGGACTCTTGCTCTTTTCTATTGTTTTGGTGTGCATCAAACACTGAGGCTGGTCCGTAACTACAGTGGGGCTATTTGGAGCTCTGCCCCCTTCCTTAAAGACACAACTCCACAAGATTCCCTTCGAATTTTTTTAAAAAAATCATTTAAAACAATTTTTTTTAAAGATGCGTGCTTCCTGGCCACACCACAGCCAGCCGAAATTTATTTGGCTGGTCCTTTTCTGTTCTGACTTCACGTATCATGCACTGTAAAAGTCACTGCTGTTTTAAACTTATCCTGCTTCCAGAATCCGTGCATAAATATTGCAAATAAGTGAGAAAGTAAATATATAGCTACAGATGTTGTCCCACGCAGTCTCACTGAATGATGGGAACTGTAGTGTGAGGCCTGTTAGACAGGCACTTGAGAATGCATCGTAAGCAAGGCAGTGCAGTGCAGAGTCTGGCAAGCAAGTTGTAGTCTGGGAAGGGGCAGGATGTTCACTAGGTGGCTTTGGGACAGATGCTGTGACTGAGGAGCAGTGTTCCCTCTAAGCTGAGTTAGTGTGAGCTAGCTCACAGTTTTTTAGCCTCCGGCTCACACATTTTTGTCTTAGCTCAGGAATGATGGCTGATGCTTTAGCCAAATTGCTCACTCACAACTTTAATGCCAGTAGCTCACAAAGTAGAATTTTTGCTCACAGGAATCCACAGGTAAGAGGGAACGTTGAACCTCAGAGCCTTCGAGTGAGGGAAAGATAAAATTATAATAATTAGAAACAACTCAGTCTCTTTTGTGACTTGGTCTCACACAGATGGTATAGTGAACTCCACTGTTCAGAGGATACAGTTAACAGGCTACCTGCCCCTCCCCCCGGTCAATCCCCAACCGAAAACCCAGGGGTCATTTCCCACAGGAGCACACAGGAGCGGAGCCCAGGGGGTGGGCACATGCAACAAGCCCCACCCCCTGCTCCCAGCAGCCCTCAGTCAGAGCAAGAAGCAGCCAGGTAAGTTGCAGAGCTCCCCCTGGCCCAAAACAGTCCAGTGGCACCATTAAGACCAAGTTTTATTCAGGTACAAGCTCTCCCTCCTCTGCAAGGACAGATCTGTACATCCCCCCCCCCCAATAGCTAGTAATCCAA